TCACGGTCTCCTGATGATTGGCCTAAAAGAGCCAATCATGCCTAAGAGGACTAGAACTCACCATCTCCTGGCGGATGACCCAAAGTTATCCATCCAGTTTTCATATCTAAAGCAGGACTAGAACTCACCATCACCTGATGATTGGCTCAAAATCACCCAGCTGGTTTTCATGTCTAAGGACTAGAACTCACCATCTCCCAGTGATTGGCCCCAGCCAGCCACTTTTCATGCCTAACACAGACTAGAACTCGATTGATGGTGAGCCCAAAGTCACCCAGCTAGTTTTGATGACTAAAGTGGGACTAGAACTCACTGTCTCTTTGGTTTCTAGGCCAGGCCAAACTGGCATCTTCGTCTCCTGCCCTCCTGATGCCAACCTACGTCACTGCTTAATTTAGATCTTGTTTTCAGCCTCCCACTTTAATCCTGGATGACAAGAAGAGCAAATGGCTCACCCTACAATACCTCTGCCAACAGTTATGCCCACACGCATGGCACACGTGACCTGATGAGGATTCATAGAGAAAGGGGCCCATGTTTAGATAGGAAAGCCTTCCGTAACCCACAATTTGATGTTGGAGGCTTCACATCAGAGGTGGAATTCAGCTGGTTCTGACCGGTTCTGGAGAACCGATAGCGGAAATTTTGAGTGGCCCCGACCCTCTCTATTCTCTGCCTCCCAAGTCCCAGCTGATCGGCAGGGTCCTCTTTTGTTGCCCTGCACAGGAGAATGGAGCTGGAAAGCAGGTTAGTGGGGTAGGGAGGGAGTGGGGATTTGGCAGTATCCTTCCCCTGCCACGCCCACCAAGCCACACCCACAGAACCGGTAGTAAATTGAATCCCACCTCTGCTTCACACCCTCTTCTACTAATCCCCCACCCCACCCCCGAAAGGCTGGAGGTAGATTGGATTAGGCAAACCAATGAAACCAAAGAGCAGAAGGCTGCGAAGATGCTCACCTATTAATGAGGGAAATGAGATTCGTTAAGAACAATTTCCTTCTGAAGATGAGTTTGCTGCCCCAGTGAGCAGACACCATCCATCTTGGCTCTGGCAGCTGCCATAATTTTTAGCATTAGGGACAGACAAGCCCGTTGGTTTTGATTCAAAAGGGCAGGAGAGCAACATGGGACCGCAAACCTGGGACTCATTGCAAATCAAAAGGCCAGTACAAGGGCAGGAAGAACGGATCCGTTTCTACCCTTCGAGCATTTTTATTTTTTTAGTGATCATCTAAAATAACCATTTAGAAAATCTGCTCTCCCTGTCCAATATGGTGTGTATAACAGTTGATAAAGCTGAGATAAATTTACTGGCAAGCAGCAAAAATAGGATCCCACAGCCTGTGCATCTCAGATGAGGGCTAAGGATGCGGAGCCCGGGGGGTGCCAATGGTTAAGAGCAGTATTGCAGGCTAATTCTGCTCACTGCCAGCAGTTCGAGCCTGACCAGCTCAAGACCGACTCAGCTTTCCATCTGAGGTGGGTAAAATGAGGATCCAGACTCCAAGCATATTGGGGACGATATGCTTGTGGGGGGGGCTGCTGGGGCTTCTGGGGGTTCGGGAGAGCCCCTCGCTAAGATTCTGTGCAGTTTGGAGAACCCCCAAATCGCACTCCTGGCTGGCCCTGCCCACTTCGGCCATTTTGGATGCAATAAGTGCAGGGGCATGTGCAGAGGCTCAGGGAGGGCAAAAAACGGGCCTCCCGGAAGTTCAGGAAGACTGGAAACAGACCCATTTCTGGCTTCCAGAGAGCCTCCGGAGCCCGGGAGGCCATTTTTGGCCTCCTAGAGGCTCAAGGAAAGCCTCCGGAGCCCAAGGACGGCAAAAATGCCCCCTCCCTGCTGTAGTGCAGGAGGCCGACTAGGCCACGCCCACCATGCCCACGCCCACCCAGCAACTGGTCAGAGAACCCTTTGCTAAAATTTTTGAAGCTCACCTCTGAATACACTGACTCTGTAAACCACTTAGGGCTGTAAAGCACTACAAAGTGATATATAAGTCTAAGCGTTATTGCTACTGCAGCCTTCCCCGGCATGATGTCTTCCAGATTGGACTACAGTTCCCATCCACTGTGGGTTATTGGCATTCAGCGGGACTAATGAAAGTTGGGAGGGGGAAAAAAACACCACTTGGGAAAGTTAGATAGACTTTTTTTTTAAAAAAATCAAGATGGTTGAAAACCTGGAATTGGGTACATAAAATTCTACTAAAGAAAAACATGAGGTTGAGAAGCGATTGGACAGCCATTCGGCCAGATTGGTACAGGATCTTCTGCTTGGGGGAGACTAGTAGACCTCCCAGGGTCCTTCCAACGCAATTATTCTGTAATTCTGTAATGTGTGGGTAGTATGTCCACTTGAAATTATGGCAAGGGGAAGTCCATGGGATACTACTGATCTAGAATGAAAATCAAGAGGAAAGTTGTGATTATGTGATGTAATCCAAAGAACGGACACTCAGCCAAAGACCTTTGAGGCCAATTCTGGTGGGGAAACGATTGTTGCACATTAGTGAAGCACGGCGCATGGTTGGGCAGGTTCTGCTGCTTTGCCCCAAGTATTTCGGTGCCGTCGTTGCTTCCTTAAAAAGAGCTACAAACGGCAGAATTTATACCATCTTGTTTAACATTAAATCCCCACCCACCCACTTCTCCGATTGTTTTAAAATATTTTTTTTTCCCCTGGGAGCTCCCAGCTGAAATATTTTCCAGCAGAAAAGTTTTGTACAGTATGACAGATGGCAGCTGGGCAGGAACCCTCTGGAGTAATAAAAATCAGAGCGAAGGAAAAGAAATGGAAGGCAGCGGAAAATGTGGAGCGCCAGAATGCCGGCTCTGTCTTCCAGCTGAATCGGACTTAAATGTTTGTTCGTTGCAAGTCTTCGGCTGAACCACGAGCAGCGCAAAATGTGGGCACAGGGTGTGGAAGCAACAAAGGCCGCAAGACGGTGAGACGCAGCTGCGAGGACATGACAACCTCGAGTAAAAGCTGAGCAAAGAGCACATTAATGGCGATTGCAGGGAAAGGAAAGGACCAGAGGTGGCATTCAGCTGGTTTGGACCGGTTCAGAGAACGGTAGCGGAAATTTTGAGTAGTTCAGAGAACCGGCAAATAACACCTCTGACTGGCCCCGCCAATCCCATCTATTCTCTGCCTCCCGAGTCCCAGCTGATTGGCTGGCTCTCCTTTGGTTGCCCTGCCCAGGAGAACGGAGCTGGAAAGCAGGTTAGTGGGGCGGGGAGGGGATTTTGCAGTAGCCTTCCTCTGCCACGTCCACCAAGCCATGCCCATAAAACTGGTAGTAAAATTTTTTGAATCCCACCACTGGAAAAGACCTGCCAAAGATTCTAGGGGTCGTCCTCGACTTAATGATCACAATTGTAGCCCCAAATCCCTGTGGCTAAGGGAGACAGTACTTTAAATTAGCGTTGCCCACATTTTACGACCTTTCTTGCCACAGTTGTTAAGTGAAATACTGCAGTTGTTAAGTTAGTAACATGATTGTTTAGTGCTTGTCAGAAGGTCGCAAAAAATTATTTGCACAGTATTGAAAAAAGGAGGAAACATCAAGAGAAGATGTAATTCAAAATATATATATATAGCGCAGAAATGGATAGACTGACATTAAAGATAAAAGAGAAGGAAGATACAGAATATTTTCAAATAGGGGATTTGTTTTATAGTTGGATAATAGAAGTAGAAATTGGGAGATGGGAAAACTTTATTATGTAAGCAACTGACTCAGACAATACACTGTTCACAAAGCACATATATATTAATTGAAAATGTATAAATAAACTATATAAAAAAGGTCGCAAAAGGTGAATACATGAGCCCAGGACACTGCAACGGTCATAAATACGAGTTGCCAAGCGTCTTCTGATCACATGACCATTGGGATGCTGCAATGGTGATTAAGTGTGAACAGTGGTCCTAAGTCGTTTTTTTCACTGCAGCTGTAACTTCAAATGGTCACTAAATGAACTGTTGTTAAGTCGAGGACTTCCTCTGGTGGAGGCCTCATTTAAATCCCTCCTCAGGTACGCAGCTTGTTACTCGTCCAAACTCCCTTGCTAAGGTTATTGAGAGAAAGCATGGAGTATCAACACAAGGGAAGGTGCTTCAGAGAGCAGACCAAGATCTAGGCTGACCTATTTCTGTAGTGTGATCCATATGGAGGCTTGGGGAAGTAAGCAAATCTCTCATTTCCCTTTCTGAAAATAGAAGTAATCTCTAGAAACAGTCTGATATTGAAGTCCAAGGGTATGAGTCATGTGGCACAGCTGATATTCCTGCTTTATTTTTTTTTATTTTTAAATTCCACCGCTAAAAAGTAGGGCTTGAGAAGCATAAATGTAATGTCTAATTACGGATACGGTACCAACCAGAGGTGGTATTTAGCAGCTTCTGACCAGGTCTGGAGAACCGGTAGCGGAAATTTTGAGTAGTTCGGAGAACTGGCAAATACCACATCTGACTGGCCCATCTAGCCTCCCGAGTCCCAGCTGATTGGCTGAGTCTTCTTTTGTTGCCCTGCGCAGGAGAACGGAGCTGGAAAGTAGGTTAGTGGGGTGGGGAGGGAATCGGATTTTGCAGTATCCCTCCCCTGCCACACCCACCAAGACACGCCCCACAGAACCAGTAGTAAAAAAATTTGAATCCCACCACTGTTACCAACAATGCTGGGGCTTTGTTGGTACTACCAAGAGCCGTGGTGGCACAATGGTTAGCATGCAGTACTGCAGGCTACTTCCGCTGACTGCCAGCTGCCAGTAGTTCGATTCTGAGCGGCTCAAGATTCACTCAGCCTTCCCTCCGACAGTCATAAAGTGTTTAAAATGTAAATAATGCTTTTTAAGACCTCGTGGTATTGCACAGTCAGGTAACAATGTCAACCTCTTTCAAATTGTTGGTAATCCTTGACTTAGGGGACTGTTCAAAGTTAGAACGGCATTGAAAAAGCGACTTATGACTGTTTTTTTTACACTTATGACCCTTACATGCTTGCGTGATCAAAGTGATGATGATGGTTCCAGTCTCTTGGGGTCCTCCTCTGAGGGCCTTTTGCGACCTTCTGACAAGCAAAGTCAAGATTCACTCGGCCACCGGGTTGCTGTCTTTAACAACCGCAGTGATTCGTTGGACAAAATGTAGCAAGAAAGATCATAAAACGGGGCAAAACTCACTTAACCAGATGTGTCGCTTAGCCACAGAAATGTTGGCCTCGATTGGGGTCGTATGCCGAGGACTAACCCCTACTTCAGAGGGTTTCAGGGCCCTTCAAAGCCGCCTCCTCTTCCACAAGAGAGAAGCAGTCAGATGCCCCATTCAGCGATGGCTCTTTCCGAGGACATCAGGCTGGGCAGATACTACAAGCGCTACAAGACCCCATTGCTGTGTTTACTGTGGGCACCTGTGATGTCTGAAACTGAAAATAGCCGGGCACAAGGGTTGGGGGAACTAGGGACCTTTGATGACCTCTGGACTCCAACTCCCAGAATTCCTGAGCCAGCATGGGGAACTAGG